AGTCCTCATTTCCTATTAATGTTACTGTTGTGTGCCTTCATGTCATTAATAGTTTATGGTGACCATATCACAATTTGCAGAAGAATTATAAAAATCAGAAGAACTATACAAAAGAGATGACAAAATGAAGGACACAAGGAATGAAGAGAAATATGAAGATGAACCCCAAATTCTAAAAAATGAGGTGGAAACTACAATAAGAGAATAGTGAAAAACAAATCACCAGAAACAGATGATATTCCAATTCAACTTCTGCAATCCACATTGACAGAGTCAACATTAGTGTTGACCAATATATGCCAACAGATATGGAAAACAAAATGATGCCCAATAGATTGGAAGTGATCAATATACATCCCCATCAACAAAAAGGGAAACATAAGAGACTGTAACAACTATAGGACCAGAGCACTGATCTCTCGTGCAAGCAAAATTATGCTCAAAATTCTGCAACATAGACTTCAGCCATACATGGAGAGAGAAATCTCAGAGGTCCAAGTGGGGTTCAGGAAAGGAAGAAGCACTAGGGACCACATTGCAAACATACGATGGCTAATGGAGCACACCAGGGAATTCCAAAAGAAAATCAGCATGTGCTTTATAGACTATAGCCTTTGACTGCATGAATCATGAAAGGCTATGGAATGCCCTTAGAGACATGGGAGTGCCAACACATCTGATAGGAATCTGTACTCAGGACAAGAGGCTACTGTCAGAACAGACTACAGAGAAACAGAATGGTTCCCAATTAGCAAAGGAGTCAGACAAGGTTACATCCTTTCACCTTATCTGTTCAACTTCTATGCAGAACATATTATAATAAAAGCAGGCTTGGGCACAGAAGAAGGAGTGAAAATAGGAGGAAGGAATATCAAAAATCTAAGATATGGTGATGACACCATAATACTAGTAGAAAACCTCACAGACCTGGGACACCTACTAAGGAAGATAAAAAAAACAAAGTGCAAAGGCAGGCTTAATGTTGAACATAAAGAAAACAAAAATAATGACCACCGAGGACCTTCACAAGTTCAACCTAGACAATAAAGAAACAGAAATAGTAAAAGAATTCTCATACCTGAGATCAAACATTGATAGAAATGTGGACTGCAGTCAGGAAATCAGAAGATTAAGAATGCGGAGGGTGGATATGAAAGAACTAGAAAAGATTCTAAAATGCAAAGATATACAACTCAGCACAAAAGTTAGAATACAAAAGCCAATGTATTCTCTATTACCATGTATGACAGAATCATAGAATCATAGAATCATAGAGTTGGAAGAGACCACAAGGGCCATCCAGTCCAACCCCCTGCCATGCAGGAACTCCCAATCAAAGCATCCCTGACAGATGGGCATCCAGCCTTTGCTTAAGACCTCCAAGGAAGGAGACTCCACTACTCTCCAAGGGAGTGTGT